CTGCCTTCCAGATGGTGGCATCTTAACCCAGTGGGGGATCCTAAGAAAAGTTTTCTGTGGCTTTGTGTCATTGATTTCTCCATGTACATTCATCTGGCAGTACAGACCGATGGAACATTTGATTCGACAGAATTACAGACCACAACATTAATAATTTTGCGAGTTTAACTGAAAAGGTTTGCAATTGTTCTCCCTGTGAATTGTGCAATTTTCTCCTTCTTCTTAAAAGAAACTCTCCTTTCGACTCTAATGGCAGGGTGTATTGTCATCGTACGGTAGCAGGCACCGACTATTGCCTCTGATTCGGGGGGCTCGAATCCATGCAATTTTCATCTGGGCTGGAATCTTGTAGGTGGACTGTTCATCATGGCTCTAGATTTGCAAAGGAAGTTAGCAATTTTGGATACCTTGTATTTGTGTTTGAGACACTTGGAAAGGGGACCAATTACGAGAGAGGCAGATGCTTAACAGTCCCTGAAAATCAGGATTAATTGAAATAAGTCATGCTGGGCACCTGAAAACACTAAATGCTTTGGAAAATCACAGGAGAGTGTTCTGTTTCTGAACATGACTTGGGAAGACTGTACAGCCTTAAGTAACACAGGATAAAAAGAAGATCTTTGCATAACATTATGGAAACATCCTTTAATCCTCAGTTCAGCCCAGTGCTTAACTTTAGGGATGTATTTGATTCCTGTGGGAGTTAAGTGCTGAAGTTTCTGCAGGTGCATTTGTATTTTCCTGAAGTGAGGCCTGATACCACATAAGTTACTGTAGGTTTGTTTTACAAAAAATTCTGAGTTGGTCTCCAAATTAAAATAAAACTAAAGGCCAAGTTCTCCCCTCTATCCTGAAGCGTGATGCTGAGTAGGACACACGAGGCTTTGCCGGTTCTCCGCATGTCCACGCATTCACACGCGGAGCCACAGACTGTACCATGAAATGACTATTCTTTGCATTTCATAGAAACCCCCAAGCCGGAGTCCCAGACTGTGTTAAGTGCCGAACAAATACAGAACAAAACATCCATGCCCCAGAGAGATTACAGCCTCACGCTGCTCACCGTGCTCGCCCTGGTGATGTAGCTGTAGGGCTTGAATTAATGCAAGATTCCGCACGGCTGCAAACATGCACTCCAAAAGCAAACAAGTAATCACGCAAACAGAACCCACCCAGCTCCTCCCCGCCTCCATCAGCAGCCCATCTGAAAAATCCGCGTTTGGCAACACTTGTTAGAGCCTCCCCTTACAGCTCAGCCGCTGCTGAAGGCAAAATCTTGGTATTGACCCTTGGCTGCACTACTACACACACAACTGCGGTCTGTTTATAAACAAGGTAAAACTAAAAACTCCATACTCATTATACACCAGGAAGGGGGCCCTATCTCACAATCGAAACTCGCCGGAGCCATCTGGTCTCTGTAAATAAGGGCTACTGGAGTCAGGGCGGGAGCGTGTAATGAGTGTAGAATGTGAATAGCCCTATTCATGCGAGCGGGATAACGAGTACTAAGCTAGTAGCGTGCTGAAGGCTCTGCTGAGTCAAACAAAAATGTGGCAGTAAGGTGGGGTTTTTTTTCCCCTGTTGCAGGGTCAAACCTATAACTACAGGGCCGAGCTTCTTTTAAGGCAGGGCTGGATGCCTTCTGTGCACACGGGAGTCAGGATAATGCATGCTCCCTCCTGATTTGTCAGCAGTCAGCTGTGGCCAGGATTTTCAAAGCTGCTTGGAGGGCGATTCCTTTTCATCTCAGAGACTGCTGAAGACTCCAGGTATCCTAGGCAGCCTTAGGATACTCACACGCAAATATCAGTGTTGAATTAACTGTTCCTTAGCTATTTTTTTTTTTCTTTTCCTAAACCCTCTCTGGGCTTAAATTTAGGTAATTTTATTAAATTAATTTTGCAGCGTCTAGTTTGCCAAGGACACGATTTACAAACATATTTCAGCATCTAAAGACAGATCATTTTAATAGAATTTACCAATTGATTTGGACCCCCACTCCTACTCGTGTTCAGGTGAGGTGTATGCCGACTTGTTCTACAAATCCCACCAGGACACTAACGTTTGATCTAAACTCATTTAGTTTTAAAGAGGTGTTAAACAATGACGCACTTTGAGGCCGCACAAGGATCAGAACAGTCTTTGAGGGAAGGCCTGCCTATACAGAATGTCTACATCAATTTTATCACCTGCTTTTCATCCTTCCTGTGCTTTGGGTCCTTATCAGGACCTGAGGGCAGTTCCACGGGAGGTTTATTTCTTTTTCTTTCCTAGTAATGGATTTCTCTGGAGGGGTCTGAATGTAGTATCTTAACGGAGACAACTCCCATTGATTTCAGCGAGCAGAAAAGCCAAACTCTTTGCTCAGAGTTGTTCCTTAAGATCTCATTCTGGCCCTGACTCCATGGCGTAAAGCTGAAGGGTTTGCTGATTTGGGGTGGAGGCAGGTGCTTAAAGCCAAGCGTGTGCTTAAATGCTTGGCTGAGCCAGAGCCCGCGTCTCCCGTTGTCCAGCGGAGAGAATCAGGTTAGGTAGGACCGTGCTGGTGTCGCAGTGCAGTAGTGGACCATGGCGCGCGCAGACACACACGCATTTAGTGCGCATGAATGCAGGTGTTGGAAAGAGGCTGAATGTAAAATTGCACGCGAATGCAGGTGTCTGGAGCAGGCACAGTGCCTAGGTCTGCATGCCAAGTTCAGGTGTCTGGGGCGGAACAAATCTCTGCCAAAGAGAGAAGAACCTCGACATGTTTATCCAAGCTCAAAAGCTGTTGCAGATCTTGCGTCTGATCTCTCTTTTCCCTGCTGAGATTCCCAAGCACCTCCCAGTCTCCCAGCTACTCACAGCCTGAAACCCTACCAGATGCCATGATTGCAGGGGAAAAGCAGCTCATTACTGGAGTGGCAGGCGACGCACAGACAAATATTTGTGCAAGGCATACAGAGCCCAGGGACTGGAACACATTGTCTCTCTGACGGGAGGAGGAAAGGGGAAAGGAGGATCTTGCCTTTGGCAGAATTAAATAACAAAAATCTATACAGGCTTTATTTCTAGCAAAACTTAAAATGTTTCCTTCTAGCAGGCGATGTTGTAACCTTCTGCCAGATTGATTTCCCGTTTACACATTTTGCTAAATACTTTAAGGGTCAGAAATTAAATTGAATTAAGTTCAGATCTTACCCCAAATCCCCTCTTCTTCAGAGACCTCTGTGTTAGGATTTCTCAGAAAAGAGACAGGATTGTATCCTTCTATGAGATGCGTTTGTTTTGAGATCTACAGAAAATGGCTAGTAAAAAAAAGGTGATAAAATATGCCCTAAACAAATTGAAATGTGACTTTGATTAAGCAATACACTCTGCACAATACAAAATTTAGTTAGCTTTGAGGATATGATATCATCTCTCTTAACATTTTTTTATATTAAATATGAAACCTGATTGCGCAATTTTCCAGAATGCAGAGATAAACCCCTAAAAGCAGGAATAGGTATTTGGTGCAATATAATTTTCTGGCATCTCCTCAAGTTCTTTTGCTTATGTGTGTTGGGGTGGGAGATAAAGAATGTGATTTCTTGCCCTTATTTTACTGCTGAACTTCAAAGGGAAAAGACCTTATATTGGTGGTGTGGGAGACAAGGCATTACAAAAACCGAACCTCAGCATTATGTTGCATTCAAGAAAGACCACAAACTGAGTCACTGTGTGGACACGGGAAGGATGGAAGATGTTAAAAGATTTACAGGTAGATAACAGAAAGATATCTCTCCATTCAAATTCCACAGGCAAGCATTTCCAGCTTCAGTTTGTTCAACGTATGTAATGTATATCTCTGAAGGCTGTATGTATATTCAAGGCCTTAAAGGAAATATCAACTTTCTTGTCAAGTGTTTTTCTTTTCCCCCAAATATTTAATTCAGAAACAGCAAATAGGTATTTCCTTAAAATGGAGAACAGCTTGTTTCGTTTTCCTCTCAGAGACCAACATTACTTAAGAAAAATGCAGGTGTAAAGGCAGGAGACAGGGACAGCCTGAGCCTTGGATTATATTGCCTTGTCAAGACTCTCTTAGCAAAGTATTTAAACATATGTTTAACAGAGCTGGGTGAGTATTTTCAATGAATAGGGATTCATTCAGTGAATAGTCTCAGCCTCCAAAAATGGAGATAAAACAAATGCAGCAAATCACTTCATCTGACAATAGCGATATGAAATGCTTTATTTCTAAAGTGCTCAAACACTTTACTGTTAACATTTTCTTTTTTAATTTTCTAAATTATATCCATGGTTAAATAATCTAAACAGGAAAAATGTATTATTTCAGTTTTGTTCAAATGTCTGACTTGAGCCACAGTTAAATACTTTGTTGTTTTAATTTTGTCAAAATTAAAAAAGAAAAACTTTGTTTCATTTGATCCCACTCAGTTTTTTGGGGCGTAAGCATTTTGTGAAAAAATCCACTATGATATACTCAGTGAGCACTTAAATACAGCACAATCTCTCAATGGACCCTAAATGTACCATTAAAGCAAGACAAATTTCCATTACTCAGATAGAATAAACTACTGAGGAAAAATATTTTCAAATGAGTGTTCATTGAAGAATTTACTCCCAACAGCATCTTGGTGAAATATCCTATTTATCCTATAAACAAGAGAATTTTAAGAGCAACTTTATACACGAATGACCAGTCAGCCACATTTTCAAAACAATAAATTTGAGTTTTTCAGCATAAAGCTTTGACACTGGAGTAGATGGACAGTATAGATTACATTCAAATTCATAGGCTCATTCTCAGCTTCCTGAATTATTTCAGTCCCTGAAGCTGTGCATGTACCTTACCTGGGGCTGTCGGGGCTATTCCGGAAAATGCAGCTAAATCTATTCTGATCTCACTTTCCACCACATTTAGCCCTTGGCTCTCGGCCAGATCCCAACTTTCCCCATTGCAGCCTCCCTCCCCAGTGCCCCTTCTTGGTGCAACAGAGTGCTCATCTCACATTTGTGTGTCCCTGCCCGGCCAGCGGCTGGACCATGAAACGGCGTTTCTGCCCAGCACTGGCCATCGTGCGGGTGACCGGGGCTGGGCCCGCTCTCGTTTCCAGCTCACCTTCCCTGTCCCCACCAGTGACCACTAGCCGTTGTCCCCTCGGGGGCTGCACTCACCCTGGCCCCGTCTGTCCCCGGGGAGCGGTCTAGTGTTGCCTCGCAGGCTCTGGGAGGGGGACCTGGTGGTGCTCCCCCCGGGGTGAGTGCTGCCTCCACCTGCCGGGCCAAGTGGCTGGTGCCCAATGCCAGTACCCAGTGCCCAATGCCTAATGCTGGTGCCCGGTGCCTGATGCCCAGTGCCAGGGCTCTGTGCCCGGTGCTGGTGCCCGGTGCGCGATTTCCTATGCCGGGGGTCAGTGCTCGGTGCATGTGCCCAGTGCCCGGTGTCCGGTACCAGGGCTCTGTGCCCGATGCCGGGGCTCTGTGCCCGGTATCGGGGTTCTGTGCCCAGTGCCAGGGCTCTGTTCCCGGTGCCCGGTGTCCTATGCCGGGGCTCTGTGCCCGGTGCCGGTGTCCGGTGTCCGGTACCGGGGCTCTGTG